GGTAGGGCTGACAGAGCCAGTCGAAACAATAAAATGTATCGAAACCTCTCCCATCGCCAGATGCCAACCGTCGTATGATGGAGTTGGGGCCCCTGCCAACGTTCCATGGCGCTCATCCGCGCCCGGACTCTGTGCCTCAACACTCTGTAGACAACTCTTTCGGGCGGCTCGAGGGCAAGGTGGCGGACATGTCCCACCCACGACTATGGGAGACGGCGGCAGCTCTGGATCAAGGATTTCGCGTGCGGTCTTCTTGCACGAAAAACATGGCGGTGTTCATATAAACCGCTGCATTCTCAACGATGGGAGGGGCGAAGCACTCCACAAAGCATGGTCGTGTGGCACTTAAACCTGCGGCTTAATGCCGAGACAGTGATGTGCAAACTTCCTGCGCAATATGTCATAGCTGGGCGGACGCATCTGGCGAGTATTTGAAACGCTTCCTGAAGCTAACTCTCTAGTTTGTCAGCAGTCTACGCACCGCCCGGGTGCACCGCCCGTCTACGCGCTGGATTATATTCTAAGCTTCAGAAGTACAGCTGCAGTCGACAACTAAATGCGTGCTCAGGACATTGAGACCCGCAGCTTTTTTAATATGGATCAGAGTGTCGCGACAGCGACGCGTGCCGATGTATACCAGATGGGCGTGGCACCGCTCAGTTTCGTCCGCTGTCATCTCGAGACCGTCTTTGTTTAACAATCTCAGACAGGCCTCCGTCTGCTCGGCGGCCATTGCCGCGGATGTCGCAAGTGACCGAAGCAACATCCAAACTGCCGAAAGTGAAATCATCGGCCCTCAGGGAGGGCCAATCTGAGACGCCAGCCGTTCTTCTGGCAAAGGCCCTAGAAGGTCTGCAACGAGGCACCCAACGATATGTTACTGAGCTCGGGTGCCGCTGGGCCTCCCTGCACGAGACTCTTTTCACGCCTGAGTTCTGCCGGGGAGGAATTTCCTGGAAGACGGATGCGGGCCCATGAATCCCGCGTCTCCCGAATCCAGAACCACTGGCTCTGGGGAACTCCGCGCGCGATGGGCCCGCGAGCTAGAAACGTGCTTCTTACGTGATCGTAAAACTAGAGAATGCCCCCTGCTACTGCAACAGGGGGCGACACGTCACATTCACTGTGCTCCTCAACCAGGTGCCGCAGGCTATACATGACCCCGCGGGGGTTGGCACCGTCGCCTGAAAGCGACTTGACATTCCGCGCGCTCGGCCCATGAGTGGGCCTTTGGACACCCAGGGCCACTGTCGACAGCGCCTTAAATTATGGCGACGGGCTTAGACTCGGCCACAGCGGCAGCCTCCGGTGCGTTCCGAGTCAAGTGCGCGGCAAGTTCTTGCCAATATTTATCAACGGACTCTGTTACATGTTTCCTGAGTCTGAGCTCAAAAGCTTCCGGGGGGGGGGGCAAGGACATGATCCTGCATTGCTTGCAGCGTATCAGCCACTACCACGCCCCATTCACAGCGCGACTTCCTGGCTTTCAAAATCTGAATACTAGCTCCCTGAAGGGCTCAGGGTTAGCACGGCCTCCGCCCGTTGCCCCTCCCTGGCCCACTCTGGAAGGTTTCGATCGCTCTCTGCATCCTGAAAGGCAACTGCGTGACCCGATCGGACAAGCTCGCGGCGGCCCGCGGAGGCGGTTACCTGCGAGCCGCTGGAGCCCGTCAAAGCGAAGACGGGCTCGCCCGCCTCGGGCGGGCGATCCGCGCGGCCGCTGTCGCGCGGCTTCCCCAGGCGCGTGGCGTCGCAGCGCAGCCTCAGGGCCCTCTTCGCGCACGTGATGGGGATGCCAGGCAGGCGTCGCACTCGGGCGTCGTTCTCCTCGGCCCTGATCTTGTCGAGCCGCTGGAGCTGCAACAGCTGCTCGTCCGATGGTGGGGGCCTCCATCCCGCTCTCCTCGGCGCGTGGCCTGCCGCCGACGCCGCAGTGCTGAACGCCGTGCTGAAGGCCGCGATGGGAGGCGCTCCGCCCCGGCGGGCTTCTCAGTCCAGCTCCGGCTTCAAACGAATGGAAGGTCGAGCCCTGGCCCCCCCGTCGAATGCTGTCGCGCCCCACCTTCCCGGCAGTGCGCTTGGCTTGGTCATGCAGTGCGCACCTATCGAAATGCTGCTTATCTCCCCCGTCAGCGCCAGGGGGGGTCGCCGCCAGCGCAGCCCCTGCTTCGACTCGTCGCATCCCATCTCCGCTAAAGTACCGGCTTGTTCGTTCCGAGTCGCGCCGCCGTGGACCTTGAACCAGACCCCTGTGCGAAGCGCGTCTCAACCCGCTGCCGCACGCGCCGAGCAAGGATGGGGATCTCGACGTGTTTCCGCTGCGCGAAGTGGCCCTTAAGTAAACCCTCCGCGCGCGCGTGGAGTCAGCGATCAGCGCCGCGACTCGCTGATCTGGCACAGCAGGTGCAGCCGGGGCGCGTTGCCCGAGGAGCCGCAGCAGCGCCTCCTCCGCAGCGCTGAGCTCTCCCACGGTGGACGCGGGCACTTGACCCCGATGAAGCGCGCGCCCCGCTTCTGGGCCGCCGCGCTTCCGCCGGCCTCGACCATGGGCGCCCCCTGGTCATCTGGCTCCGTCGCGCGGTGCGCTTCGGAGCCCGAGTCGGCTGTTCTCGCGCCCCTTGGTCCGCGACTTCTCTCTCTCTGGCGGACCCGTTGGTAAAGATGCCCATCGCGTTCGCCGCGTCGTCCTCCGTGTGCGACGCCGTCGGGCACTGGGCCAGCTGCAGGTCGTTGCAGGCCGACTCGTTGAACGGATTGGCGCCCTCGACACTCCGCGCAAATGACACGCAAGGTCGTTGCTCAATCAACCTTGGTTCGGCCACCTGGTCTCTCCTGAACTGTCGGCGCGACTAGACCCGCGCGGCATTGCAGCAGCAGGGGCTTGCATCGCTCGAGGCGGCGTCGCACGAGCGGGCCTGGTACTCCAGCATGGGGAGCCACTCGCGGTGGCACAGTACGTAGTCGACATGTCCAGGCTCCTTGCGGTTGTCGAAGTAGAGGTCACCTGTCCCCTCCGACCTCGAGAGAAGGTGCTCATGGCGACCAGGTCCAACTCCTTCATTAAATCCAGCATCGTCTCCCCTCCCCACGTCATTGGCACGAGTAAGAAAGACCAGACTGAATCTCCATCTCCTTGTCCCAGTCCATCCTGGGCGTCGATGCTAACAACTTGTGTGGCCCTCAACAAGCAAAGAAACTCGCGCCCCATAAACTGGTCGATCGTATCGGCGTACTTGCATCTGACGATATGTGAACACATGACCCGTGATGAACTGCACTTGACCCCGAACTGGCAACTGTATGTCGAGGCACATGGTGAATCCGACGGAGGACGCGCCACGTACCTCGACGGAGGGAACCAACGACGGAGGACGCGATCTGATCGCCACCTGCTATACTATATCACATCTCTGCCAGGCCCCCGGTGGAGGCGCACCATGTACTACATAGCCGTCGAAGGTCTGATCAAGTCTCCCAGCAACGCACCGTCCTTGAAGCAAGGTCAATCCCGGGGCAACTACTGATGCAACGCTGTCGAGAAACACCTGTGCCCGTCGCGCACGCACCCCTCTTGCATTCCACCCCAGAACTGCTAGATCCCTGGGGTCCCCGGCAAAAGGGAGTCCTGGAACTTGGTGTCATTTTGTGCGAGGAGGGTCGTTGACCTCATCGAGCTTCGTTTCCAGCGTGGGGCCCGACAGCTCCTGGGCCAGCAGCGCCCTCGCACAGGCGTCGGTAACCAGCTCGAGGAAGCCTCCGTTCTTGGTCTTCGTGAGGATCCTGATCTCTCTACGTGATTCTTTCTGTGCACGACCTGGCCACGATCCCACGTCCCCATCGAAGACTCGCTGCGCTTTTCTCCTGAGTGCACAATTTGTGCTGGAGCCCGCACTCGCGCATGAGCCGAACAGCGTAGCTTACTCGCCTCGTCAACTCGACCTCACTCCGCTCCTGATCGACCTTTGCCAGAGCTTGTCGTTCCTGGCTCCTGGGCAAGGTATGTTCTGACCTTCCCACGCTGTCCTGAGGCGCCACACCCTGTCGCTACTGATGAAAACTACCTTCGCCTTGTCACAAAAACGTCCAACTCTGAAAATATCAGCGACCCCCGTGTCCTCTAGACTGCTCGTGATCGCTAGCTGGATCTTCAAGTGTCTCTCGACCTCCTCCTTGTCCCACGTCCCAGGAAACGTTGCCACGAACACTATGTGGCTGTTCCTCGCGGGTGGGCTGAAGGGTAATGGTTCTGCTGGCGGAACGTGTCCTGGCTGGTCCGCGGGCTGGAGATAGGCTGCCCAAGGGTCCGACGGCGCAACCGCAAATCCCAATCCACGCGTCCTTATCGATCGCGATGCCGTCGACGCCGCCGATCCTCTCTCGAACCAGTCCATCCGAACCTTCTGGGCCGGCATCTCCACATTCAGCAAAGCGAATTCCAAAGACGACGTGTCCTTCGTGGTCTTTGGAAGGTCGTCAACGCTCTACTCAACTCCATCCATACGGGGTATCCTGGTGCAGTTGATCAAACGGAGATGTACTGGGCGAGGGCAAACAGCGCAGGGTCAGGTGGCGCGGCGACGCCCGAAGCACCAGCCACTGGTGTTTCGGGCCCTTGCCGACGAAAAGGCTGTCGCTCAGGGAGGAACTCGCCCTCAGGGTCAGTCGTCGCGAGGTCACCGTCATCCCCAGGGCCGCCCCGAATCTCGCCACCTTCGGCATCAAGTCCTTGACATAAATTCTCTCTCACCATCACTCGTCAGGTCTGGCATCAGATCGCTGCAAAATGAGCGCAAGAGCGACTCTTGACGTCACGACCGACGACGCCGACGCCACCGACGACGACGACGACGACGCCGACGACGACGACGACGGCGGCGACGACGACGACGACGACGACGACGACGACGACGACGGCGACGACGACGGCAGCGGCGGCGACGGCGGCGGCGGCGGTTGCGCTAGCGAGCGCTCTGGCGCGTGGCTCGGCCGCCCCGGCCCGCCAGTCGTGGCCCGGCAGCGGCACGCCGGGGCAGGTCAGCGCCGGGGCGCCTGGCTCGAACGCGTGCGCCAGCAGCGGGGCGGCCACCTCTGCGCGCGCGCGTGTGCCTCGCCCTGGCAGTGCGCCCCTTCGCGCGCGAGCGCGCGCGCGCGCCTCGCCGGCGCAGTGTGGCTGACTTTGGCCCCCCCATCTCCGCCCACCTCGGCACCTTCGGGGGGCCAAAACCGTGTGGAGACGGACCGCGTGGTGACCTCGGATTCCCCACCGACCTCACCGCGCGGCCCGTCACCACGCGAGTTTCGGACCCTGGAGGCCCCAGTCGCCCGAGACACCCTCGCAGAACGGCCCGAATCCCAAAACCGCGCGGCGACCCCGAATCCCCACAGACTCGCCTCGCAGTGTGGTCACCACACTGTCTGAGGGCCCCCGAGTCACTGCACGGCTGGGTCCAAGCTCGGGACCTTGCCAGGAGGCGCGCTCCAGGAGGTGTCTGGAGATCGACCTTGCGGGAGGTCTGGGGGGGAGGAGGGGGAGGATGAGGACCTGGAGGAGGATGGGGAGGAGGAGGAGGAGGAGGAGGAGGAGGAGGAGGAGGAGGAGGAGGAGGAGGGAGGAGGAGGGGGAAAAGAACAATGAGGAAAAGGAGGAGGGAGGGATGTAGGGGAAGAGGGATGGAGGGAGGGAGGAGGGCGAGGGACGGAGGAGGGAGAAAGGGCGGAGGACAAAAGAGGGTGGAGGTAGGCGGTTAGGGAGAAGGAGGGAGGGAGGGAGGGAGGGAGAAGAAGAGAGCGAGATCAAGAAAGAGATAAAGAGAGAAAGAGAGAGAGAGAGAGACGGACGAGAAGCGGGAGGTGAAGCGGGGCAACGGTGTGGGTACCCTTCTCCTCCCCGCTCTCGCCACGACCAGTCGCGCTGCCCTCGTCTCATCGCAACCGCTACGGACCTGCGACGCTCGTCGTGAAAGTATGAGGGGTGGGATGCCGCCGCTGCTGATTCGGCGAGCCTGTCGCTGACACTGGCCGCCGCCGCCTCCGCCTCCGCCTCCGCCTCCGCCGCCGCCGCCGCCGCCGCCGCCGCCGCCGTCGGCGTCGGCGTCGTCGTCGTCGTCGTCGTCGTCGTCGTCGTCGTCGTCGTCGTCGTCGTCGTCGTCGTCGTCGTCGTCGTCGTCGTCGTCGTCGTCGTCGTCGTCGTCGTCGTCGTCGTCGTCGTCGTCGTCGTCGTCGTCGTCGTCGTCGTCGTCGTCGTCGTCGTCGTCGTCGTCGTCGTCGTCGTCGTCGTCGTCGTCGTCGTCGTCGTCGTCGTCGTCGTCGTCGTCGTCGTCGTCGTCGTCGTCGTCGTCGTCGTCGTCGTCGTCGTCGTCGTCGTCGTCGTCGTCGTCGTCGTCGTCGTCGTCGTCGTCGTCGTCGTCGTCGTCGTCGTCGTCGTCGTCGTCGTCGTCGTCGTCGTCGTCGTCGTCGTCGTCGTCGTCGTCGTCGTCGTCGTCGTCGTCGTCGTCGTCGTCGTCGTCGTCGTCGTCAGCGCCTTTCGGCGCCGCCGCCCGATTGAGACTTCTCGGGCGCCCGAACGTCCACAACCTCCAGGATGGATGTCTCGGTCTCCACGCTGGAGGCTTGTTTCCTCCATCCTGGAAGCCAGGGCGTTCGTCTTTGGAAGTGTGGAACCCTCTGGGACCTTCCCGAGGGGTCGCGTGGGTGATGCTGTCACTCGGAAGGCCCCTTCGGAGCCCTGGGTGTGCCCAAGTTTCGGGCTGGAGCGAGGAGAGGGGGAGGAAGAGGGAGGAAGAAGGAGGAGGAGGGAGGAGGAGGAGGAAAAGGAGGAGGAGGAGGAGAAGAGGGAGGAAAAGGAGGAGGAGGAGGGGGATGATGATGATGATGATGATGACGACGAATATGATTATGATTATGATGATGATGATGATGATGATGATGATGATGATGATGATGATGCTGATGATGCTGACGATGCTGATGATGCTGATGCTGATGATGCTGATGCTGATGATGCTGATGATGTTGATGATGTTGATGATGCTGATGATGCTGATGATGATGCTGATGCTGATGCTGATGCTGATGCTGATGATGAGGAGGAATAGGAGTAGGTGTAGGAGGGGAACCCGAAAGCGCTCAAGATGATGACGCGCACTTTGTGCATCGAGGACTGCTGATCGACCTGCGGATGATACCCAGGAGACGCTCGCAAAACGGGGAGGGGCTGCATCCTCCCGCCCATGCGCCTGATGGTGCGGCGCCTGAAGGCCCCAGGGCCAAAGAACGACCCCTGGAGGCCTCGTTCGGGGAAATGCCCGTCTCGATTGTGTCGCGAAGCCTGCTCATGAAAATAGGGTCCTCCTACGCATACCCTTTCACTCGAAGTGAACCCTTGGACCCCTCTGGGACACCATTTACGACCAGGTTTCCGAGCTGCGTGCAGCCGTGGCCACACGAACCACCGCCCTTGGCCCCCCAGGGAAGCGCAAAATCACTAAGAGAGAACATCGCCGAATCCTGAAGACTTCCACAAGAAACCTTCCACAAGACAATCCTGAGACCCCAGGCCGTCCATTAATTTTTGGTATGGGAACGTCACGCCTTCCATCGCAAAACCATCGAGACACAAGAAACACAGGGCACCCTGGAGGCAAGCAGAGTGTCTCTTGGCATGGGTCTCCACTGTAAGAGAGAACATCGCCGAATCCTTGTGCGAGAAGCAGCAGGAACACCGAGCGGGCGTGCAGAGGGAGGCCCCGACGACGACGACGACGACGACGACGACGACGACGACGACCAGGTCGAGGGCGAGGAGGGATCGGAGGAGCATCAGCAGAGCGAGGACGACCAGTCGTTGCAGATGTCAGGGTGAGGTGGCTGGGTCGAGGACGAGGAGGGATTGGATGAGCATCAGCAGAGCGAGGAGGACCGATCGTCGCAGATGTCCAGATGAGATGGAGTAGGGATGGGCAGGGGGCCGTTTCTCGGCGATATACCCGACTTAGCCGGAGGGACGGGGAAGTGGCGGCCGATAACCAAAACTTTTCGCTTCAGGCAGCCCCACGTGTGCCCGCGCGCACCAGTACTACGTACCGTGTACCCCTTCGGACCTGCGCAACCGACAGGGTGGGGAGCAAGCGGGCCCGATAACCCCGGCTGGACCCTTAAAACAACAGCCTACAGGAGGATGGACGGAGGGAGTGAACGAGCAAAGAACAAACGAGCAGGAGGAGGGGAGAGGGGGTAGAGGCCTCCCAGATGGGGTCCGAGCAGATGGGGTCGGAGGATCGCGCCGCATCGCTGATACACCAGAGATGCATCGGCGATGCATCGGCGACGTCGACGACGCATCGGCGCCATCGGCGTGGAGAAAATCGTGCTCCACATCGAGCCGCATCGGCGATGCATCGGCGATGCGGCGCGATCTTCCGACCCTATCTACTCGGACCCCATCCAACGACTGCACGCAAGAAGAGTGCCCTTTGGTGCGCGGCTTTTCGGGGGCCGCGGGTGGATCAAACACACGCGCGCAAGACGCTACTAACGCATCGCGTTCGGCGATCGGGGGACCCTGGTGAGCCCGCACCAAAGGTCACTCCGGCGGAGGGTCACTCTTACGTGTAGTCGAATTCAGGAGGTCTCGAAGGGGGTGGCGGCCCCGGGCCGCCCGGCCGCGCTGCACGCAGCCGCCCGGCTGCCCCCCGTCGCACTGCGCGCTCTGCCGGTAGTGCGCCGAGAGCCGCCGCAGGTAGGTCGCCGCGCCGAAGCGGGCGCCCTCCGCGGGGGGGGGGGGGCGGGGGGAAGGCGAGGCGAGGCGAGGCGAGGCGAGGCGAGGCGACGGGGCCCTTCCGGGCCTGCACGCGGGGGCCGCGCCATCGTCGAGGGCGCGCCATCGTCGAGGGCCGCCGGCCTCGAGCGCCGAGGGCCGTCGCCGAGCTCGACGGGGCCTCGGCGGCCACGCGCGCGCGTCGGCGCCGAGGGCTGTCGGCCGCGAGCGCCGCGGGCCGCCGAGCCTCGGCACGCCGACCCTCTGTTCATGTTGTCCGGAGGGGAGGGAGGGGAGGAGAGGGAGGGGAGGGGAGGGGAGAGGAGGGAAGGGGAGGGGAGGGGAGGCAAGTTAGGTGCGCTCGCGTCTACATCTGACATCATACCCCTCCCTCCCATCCCTTACCATGGCGCTGATTTTCTCTATCCGCGGACGCGTGTCGTAGCGGACCTGTGGCTCCGCGCGCGTGTGCGTAGTGGGTGGTGGTGCGCGTGCGTGCGTGCGTGTGTGCGTGGTTGTGGTTGTTGTGGTGGTGGTGTGTATGTGTGTGTGTGTGTGTGTGTGTGCGTGTGTGCGCGTGTGCTGTGGTGTGACGTGGTGTGGCGTCTTGGTGGTTTGGTGGTGGGCCAGGTGCGTACGTGCGTGATGGCGGCGGTGGTGGTGGTGGCGGTGGTGTGTGTGTGTGTGTCTGTGTGTGTGCGTGTGTGTGTGTGTGTGTGTGCGTGTGTATGTGTGTGTGGTGTGTGTGATGTGTGTGTGTGTGTGGTGTGTGTATGTGTGTGTATGTGTGTGTGTGCGCGTGCGCGCGCGCGTGCGTGCGTGCGTGCGTGCGTGCGTGCGTGCGTGCGTGTGTGTCTGTGTGTGCGCGCGTGTGATGTGGTGTGACGCGGTGTAGCGTGGTGGTAGTGGGTGGGGTAGTGCGTGTGGTGGTGGCGGTGCGCGGTGGTGGTGCGCGTGCGTGCGTGCGTGCGTGGTGGGTGGAAGTGGCGGTGGGTGTGCGTGCGGCGGGGCGGGGCGTGGTGCGGCGCGGTGGTGGCGGGCGGATGGGCGCGCGAGAAAGAGGCCCGCGCTGGGGCGAGAACGCCATCCTGAACGACGGAGGCCAAACACCGATCCGAAAATGAGGCCCACGCTGCAGCGGGAGCACGATTCGGAACGATTCGGGAGCAGAAATGAGGCCGGCGCCTCAGCGAGAGCAGCATTTTGAAAAAAAACGCAGGCGAAAACCCAACTCCCGGGAATCCTGTGTAAAAAAACAATACGCGGGGGGGTCTACTACTCCCAGGGCGCCATCAGGGGAAGAGGGAGAGTAGTATTCATATTGAGTAATTGTGGAGGGGAGGGGAGGGGAGGGGAGGGGAGGGGAGGGGCGGGGAGGGGAGGGGAGGGGAGAGGAGGGTGGGTGGTGGTGGTGGTGGTGATGGTGGTGGTGGTGGTGGTGGTGGTGGTGGTGGTGGTGGTGGTGGTGGTGGTGGTGGTGATGGTGGTGGTGGTGGTGATGGTGGTGGTGGTGGTGGTGGTGGTGGTGGTGGTGGTGGGTGGTGGTGGTGGTGGTGGTGGTGGTGGTGGTAGTGGTGGCGGCGGCGGTGGTGGTGGCGGTGGTGGTGGTGGTCACTGCACGAGGAAAACAAGTCCCAAGCAGAGCAGCAAGCACCACGATCACGACGGCGCCGACAAGGGCGACGAAGAAGACGAGGCGCGCAGACCATCCGCACCGAAGCACGGATTAGGGAAAGGGCCCACCCTGCAGGAGGGGGGGGGGAGAGGGGAGGAGGGGAGGCCGTCCTAGTCGCCGATGCCGGCCTTCGGCGGCGTTCGGAGGCCAATGGCCGCGGCGCGGAGGGGAACGGGGGCAACGGCCAGCGGCTTCCTCGGCGTCGTCGTCGCTGGCCTCCTCTTCGCTCCCTCCCTCCTTCCCTCCTCCCTCCTCCGTACTCATTCCTCCACACTTCTGCCCATCCTCCTCCCGCTCCCCGTCCCTCCTTTCTCCTCCTCTTCCTGCTCCTACTCCTCCTCCTCCTCCTCCTCCTCCTCCTCCTCCTCCTGATCCTCTCCTCCTCCTCCTCCTCCTCCTCCTCCTCTCCTCCTCCTCATCATCATCATCATCATCATCATCATCATCATCATCATCATCAGCATCAGCAGCAGCAGCATCATCATCATCATCATCATCATCATCATCATCGTCATCGTCGTCATCATCATCATCATCATCATCATCAGCATCAGCCATCAGCATCAGCATCAGCATCAGCATCAGCATCATCATCATCATCAGCATCATCATCATCATCATCCTCATCCTCATCCTCATCCTCATCCTCATCCTCATCCTCATCCTCATCCTCATCCTCATCCTCCTCCTCCTCATCATCATCATCATCATCCCCCTCCTCCTCCTCCTCATCCTCCTCCTTATCCCTTCTCCCTCCCTCCCCCCGCCCAACCCTCCGCGCGCCCTGCGCGCCGCGCGAGAGTGCAAGCGTGAGCTGGAGGAGGCGCCACAGGAGGAGCAGGAGGAGAAGAGCGAGGGGAAGGGAGGGGTGCAGGGAGTGAGGGTGAGCAGCAGGAGGGGAAGGCAGAGACGGTGAGGAGGATACTGGTTGAGCAAGGCGTGGCGCGGAGGAGGGGGAGGAGGAACGAGGGTGGAAGGAAAAATCTGATGTTGGACGCCCCGTCCGACAGCAAACTCGTCTTCTGGGCTGCGCAAGTTCGAGACTTCCGCGTAAGCTCAGCGACCCGCAGGGACGCCTCCCTGCCCAATCTTCCAGGTCAGGTCAGGTGTGCCAGGCGGCTGCACGGCGCGTTGGCCAACACAAAGCTACTCTGATATTCGCACACACCTTTCAATGATTCGTACATGAGCTTGCTACTTGAGCTTTGCATACGAGCTACATATTCCAATGACTTGCAATTTCACCAAAAAATGATGCGAGGTGGGTGGACCAGAGCCTTGGGACGCTCTGGTAGCAAGAAAAACGCTTCAGACTTCATGCTTCGACGCCGCGTGGCATTTGCCAAATCGACGGGCTCGGATCTTCGCGAGCCCAGCCATTCCAGCGCCGCCTACCCATACCCGTCGAATGTTTGCGTCTCTAGGGGATGAGAATGCCGCTGCTCTCCAGCGGTTAACACAAATGCGCGCGGCGCTGAAGCGAGAGCCACATTTGGAAACCGGGCCGCCTTCCATCCGTGAAACTCTTGCAAAGACTAAGTTTTAGGATCGTAACTTGTGAGCAAGTTTCAAGCGAAACGCCCTGCCCGCTCTTTCGACCAGCCTCGGGGTGCGATAGGGAGGAATTGCATAAAGGAGAAGGGATGGGGGAGGGGGAAGAGATCATGGAAGGACACGGCGACAGAGGAAGAACAAGGAGGAGGAGGAGCAGGAGGGACAACGGACATGGGAGGAGGGTGGAGAAGGGGAATGGTGGAGAAGGAAGAGGAAGAAAGGAGGACACAATTTTGAGGAGGACGAGGAGGAGGAGATAAAGTGGAGGAGGAGGATGAAACAGGAGGAGGAGGGGGAGGAGGGAGGAGGAGGAGGAGGAGGAGGGAGGAGGATGAGGAGGATGAAGAGGGAGAAGAGGAGAGATTAGCATGAGGAGGATAACTCTAGGCCGTGTCGGCCCAGGGCGCCTCCTCCAGGGCCCCCTGCCTCGTGTACACGAGAACCTCGGAGGACTCCTCGGGGAAGAGCACGTAGTCCAGGGCTACCCTCCTAGGCACAAGGAATGGGGAGGGGAGGGGGAGAAAGGGGAGGGAGCAAGGGTACGAGGGGTGAGGAAGGGCGGGGTATGATGAGGGGAGATGGGGGCAAGGGTCGGACGAGGAGGAAGAGGGGAGGAGGGGGAAGGGGAGGATGGATGATAACGATGATGAGAAGGATGATACTGATGATGATGATGATGATGATGATGATGATGATGATGATGATGATGATGATGATGATGATGATCATGATCATGCTGATGGTGGTGGTGGTGGTGGTGATAATGATGATGATGACGATGATGATGATGATGATGGTGGTGAAGTGAAGATGGTGGTGAAGATGGTCATGATGAAAATGATACTGATGGTGATGATGGGGATGCTGATGCTTGTGATGATGATGGTAGTGATGACGATGATGATATTAATGGTGATGGTGATGACAATGGTGATGGTGACGATGATGATGATGATGATGATGATGATGATGCTGTTGGCCATGATGATGATGGTGATGAAGGCGAAGATGGAACTGACGATGGATATGCTGATGACGATGACGACACTGATGGTGATGATGACGATGGTGACACATGATATGATGCTGCTGATGGTGCTGCTGATATGATGGTGATGAGGCTGGTGATGATGATGATGATGATGATGATGATGATGATGATGATGATGATGATGATGAGGGAAAGATGAGCAGGAGGAGGAGGCCATCGGGAGTTATATCACCTGTCGCTGCCAGCAGCCATCGGGCTTTCAGGAAAAAGAGAAAGACCAGAGTTATAGCCTCCAGCCTTGAAGCTATGATAAAATTGTGAACGTGCGCGGCGAAAAGGCAAGAGCTGCATTTTGAGAACAGCTGGCCCTCGTTATTTGAAATTGTTGGTAAACTGTTATAACGAGTGTGCGCGACGCTACGGCGAGAGCAGCAGTTCGAAAACAAGCAGCCCTCCATTCTTCAAGCTGTCGCAAACTGCTAGTACGAATGTGGGCGGCAATCAGACGATAGCAGCATGTTTTAAGCGACCAATGTGCTCAGGCCTCGAGTGTTCAAACTTGAGGACTGAGGACGTCTGAAGCGACAGCCCCATTCAGAAAAAGAGCCACCTGTAGCCGCTCCAATCGTTTGTGACGAATGTGCGCCGCTACGGTGAGGGCCACGTTTTGTAAACAAGTCCACATCCATCCTTGAAGCTGTTGCAAACTTTTACAGTGACTGCGCACGGCGAAACGGCGAGAATAGCATTTTGAAAACCACCGTCCCTCGTTCTCCAAAGTTATTGCAATCATGTGCCACGAATGTGCGTGGGGGTCGACGAGAGCCGCAATTTGAACACAAGAAGCCCCCTATCCTTCAAACTGTTTCAAAACGAATGTGAAAGGCACTCAGGCGAGAATCGCATTTTGAAAGCCACTGGCTCTATATCCTTGAATGTGTAAGAGCTTTAAGCCTCAGGGTGGTAAGTGACAAAATAATCTCAAGCGAAACGCCCGGCCCAGCCTACAAACACGTCGGGTGGTGCGACAAGATTGATTTGTAAGGAAAACGGATGGAGGGAGGAGGAGGGAGGGCACCTCGAGGACTCGGTTCCCCCGTCCATATTTTCGCTAAGTCCCCGGATTCCCCCCCCAGACGCCGTCCCGAACATCGTGCGAGCTGCGTCTCGTGGCCTTGAGAGCCGCCCACGAAGCTAAAAGACGCAATAAGAGACACACATCGGAATCCTTTACGAGCGGCAACATCACCATCCCTCTTCCGTCCTTTTCCTCCGACCTTCCGTCTTTTCGTTTCACGATATGGGCCCCAGGACTCTCGAGCCAGTCCCCAGAGCTGGTTTTGCACCGCCTTGATTTTCGGACTGTCCCGTGGACTAAACTTGGCTTCTGGAAACTCAAACGCAGGAGAATCAGTCCGTCTCGTTTTTCGTGAGACGTCGGATCTGTAGTTCTCCGAAGGTCCCAAAAGGTTTCTGGAGGTCTTCAGAGGCCTCTGACTCCTTGATCATTCCTCCTTCCCCTTCTCCTCCTCTTCCTCCTCGATCCGATCTGGAGGGCGGGTCTGGAGGTGGATGAGGATCCTGACCTCGCCTGACCCCCCTCTTTCTTGCGTGCACGTGTGGATTGGGTCACGCCCCTCGTGGTCGGGCGCTGCTTCTCCTCGATCTGAAGGCTCCTCCCTCTTGACCCCCTGCCTGACGGCGCGCCCAGGAGGGAAAGGCGAGGGGGCCAGCCTTCTACGACGGCGGGGCGTCTTCAGGCGGAAGACCTCCTGCTCTTCGATCTGATTTCTGAGCAGTCTCAGGCGGCCCCTAAGAAGGCAGGAGGGCCTCTAAGAGGCCCACCCCCCGCATTCTTAGACGGCTGCCCTCCCCAGCGACTAGAATAACGAAAAGCTGCACACACACACACACACACACACACACACACACACACACACACACACACACACACACACACACACACACACACACACACACACACACACACACACACACACACACACACACACACACACACACACACACACACACACACACACCACACACACACACACACACACAACACACACACACACACACACACACCACCACACACACACACACACACACACACACACACAACACACACACACACACACACACACACACACACACACACACACACACACACACACACACACACACACACACAACACACACACACACAACACACACACACACACACACACACACACCACACACACGCACACACCACGACCGCACACACGCACACACGCACACACGCACGCCACACGCAACACACGCACACGCCCGCACGCCCGCACACGCACGCACGCACGCACGCACGCACGCACGCACGCGCACGCGCACACACACGCACACGCGCACACACACACACACACACCACGCACGCACGCACGCACACACGCACGCACGCACACACACACACACCACACACCACACACACACACACCCACACACACCACACACACACACACACACACACAACACAACACACGCACGCACGCACGCACGCACGCACGCACGCACGCACGCACGCACGCACGCACGCCGCACGCACGCACACACACACACACACCACACACACACACACACACACACACACACACACACACACACACACACACACACACACACACACACACACACACACACACACACACACACACACACACACACACACACCACACACACACACACACACACACACACACACACACGCACACACGCACGCACGCACGCACGCACGCACGCACGCACGCACGCACGCACGCACGCACGCACGCACGCACGCACACACACACACACACACGAATGCTGTCGAAATTCCGCGCATACTTGTGGGGTCGGCGCTGGACGCCGCTCTCCTGGCGCGCAAACCGCGCCACCGACGGCGCCAGAAACGCCGCCAGGGGGGGGGGGTCCAGCGGTGACCGAAGAAATCTGCGCGGACTTCACTAAGAAAGATTCGTTCACGCCACGTTTTATACGATTCTGGCGAAGGCGCGCCTCCCCCGCAAAGGCGGACGGCCCTCCCCCGCGACGACGACGACCGACGACGACGGACGACGACGATGGACGGCGACGACGGCGACGGCGACGACGACGACGACGTCGCTCGAGGGCCACAGCTTCTGGACGCTGCCCCCCGCGGGCGCGCCGCTGGCCCGCGAAGTCGCGGGGGGGGGGCTGGGGGGCGCTCCACGGCGTCTGAGCGGCGCCGGGCCCGAAGGAGCCGAACGGGGACCCGCTCAGGCTGCAGGCGCCAGCCTCGGCGGCGTTGTCGTCGTCGTCGTCGCCGCATCGTTGCACTTGTCGTCGTCGTCGTCGTCGTCGTCGTCGTTGCCACATCGTGCATCGCCGAATTGCGGATGCACAGTCGCAGGATCTGCTGTAGACATGTCCGTATGCATTTAGTTGTTGCTCGTTCTGTAGCCGCCGAGGCTCGAATCTAGAACTCGTTCGACGCATCCTGGAGCCAAGCAAGAACAATTGTGCAATCACAGCTTGAGAATTGCTTGATTTCGTGTCGTACGCAGTTGATCAGGCTCTCGTGGTGTCAATGGACGGCACGCAGTTGGTAGGCGCCCGGAGAGCACACATCTTTGCACCGACTCTTCGCGGGCCGTGCCGCCCAGTTCGGCAGCCTCCCCTGGAGAGGCCACGGACAAGCTCAGCAGGCGTGGTTGCAGCTGTAGATGTTGCAGCAGCCTCGCCACAACAATCCGCCCTGCCAGAAACTCGTGTCCAGATGCAAACGTTGAGCGCCATTGCGCAGAGCATCGAACAGGAGAAGGCTGAAATTGACCCCCAAATGCTTCTCGAGGGTGTGTACCCGTTCTTATCAACATGTTTGCGTCCCGGCACGCGGACACAAGAACAATACTGGAGGCTCACGCTATACAATGGGACCCGCTTCGGACAAAGAAAGACATCGTGAGCACCAGCCAACGCAAGTACGAAGCAACTCGCCAAGGAGGCGGAACATAATTGGCAGTGGTGCGATCTATACTTGAAGGGCGCTGCGCCTGTCGCGGGCGTCGCGCGGGATGATGTCGCGATGGCTGCGGAGATCGCGTACGATATGTCGACCAGCTGGTGCGCGATGCGTGAACGACACGCCCGTAAATGCCAGCTGATCGGTGGTCGACACCAAGAACAACAAACACAGATATTGTCTGGTCGGCAAGCACCGAGGCTTCGACGTGAAGACTGGAGCATCGATTCAAATCTTGGATTTCCCCGCAGAGCGACATCATAAATGTCCAGACCGAACAGCAGCTGGCAGGTGCGGTGCAGAGCTTCGCCGAAAGTGCCTTGCTGGGTAGTAGCCCTAACCCTAACACCCTGACATGACCACCCTGACCCGAACCCCAGAGCAATACCCCAAACACCCAAACCATCAGCTCTAACCCTCACCCCAACACTCCAATCCTAACACACTGACCCTTATACACTAGTCTAACACCCTAACCCTAGGCGGGCGTGGTCCAAGTGTCGGAAACAATTTAAGAAACATTCACGCATAACATATGGTGTGAACTCCCCCCTCCCCCCGAATGCAATGTTGGGCTCGGATCTCTCGAGGTTGACTGTCGGACCACTGATGCGTATACATGCCAACTTTGAATTGCGGGGGGAGGGGAAAGTTTTGCTTAGTTTTTTCCCTCTACCGTCGCACATGCCTAGGGGCGTCCAACCTTTTTGCGCGATGCTTGAAAAGGAGCCTCAGGGGCTGGCCCGCGCACGCCGCAGGAGCAAAGGAACAAGGAGAGGGGGAGTTACGCGGGCCAGTCAGGGGCTGGCCCGCGCATGCCACATTGGAAAGGGGAGCGGCGGGCCAGGTGGGGATTGGAAGGGATGGGGAGTCCGCGGGCGTGGGGGGGGCTGCCCAATTCCCCCCCCGCAGAGCTGCTCTGCGCGGGGCCGCAAGGGGGGCTGGCCCGCGCGCGCCGCAGGCACTGGGGAAAATGGAGAGGGGGGATTGCGCGGGCCAGCCGCAGTGGAAAGGGGAACGGCGGGCCAGTTGGGGATTGGCCTGCGCCCGCGGCTGCCCGCGCTCGCCCTGGGGCCCGCAGCCGCCACTGCCAGAACTCCGACAGCCACTGCCGCCGCCACCTCGCTCTTCCACGCGCACGCCGCAGCAGCGCCCGACAGTCCGCCACACCCGCCGGTGCAGACGAGGTAAGTGCTATCCCTGCAGACATAATTACATTTGCAATGTTGCTCTCAAAACCTCAGTGTGCCGCAACGCGACTGAACATTCAAAGGGGTCTTTCTCTCCTACTCGCTCTCGCTCCCTGGTGCGCCACCCCCGCCGTCGTCACACACTGCACCACCAACCTCCCCCCGCCCGCCATCTTCGCCCCCCCTCGCTTTCGCCATGCCCGCGCCATCGTTGCCCACGGCCGCCGTCGCCGCCGCCCCCCGCCGCCGCCGTCGCGCCCCCCGCTGTCCAGTCAGGGGATACAGGCGGATGCCCTGTTGGAAAGAAACGAATCGGGCCAACGAGGGACCGGCCCGCGCCAGTGGCTGCCCGCGCTCACCCTGGGGCCCGCAGCCATGACTGACACCACCGCTACCACGACTGGCGGCCGCCACCACCGCCTTGCGCTGCCACGCGCACACCGCAGCAAAGTCCGACAGCCCGCCACACTAGTCACCGCCGTGGCCGCCAGACGTCGCCCCGGCGCCAGCGCCGACGTAGTAGCATCCGCCGCCACCCCCACCAGCGCCAGCAACGCTGCAGCGACAGCCGCTGCACACGGCCGCTGCCTGCGCGCGCCCCACCACCAGGAAAACAAAACCAGCCCCGCCACCGATGCAGGTGCCACTGCGGACGGAGTGGCGCCGCGGGAGGCTGTGTGGGCTTGGCGCGCCACGTGGGCACCGTCGCGGCCCAGGCAAGGGCGCGGGCCCAAGAACGTGCCACGAGTGGGCCGCGCGCCGCCGCGGCGGGCCGCCGGGGCTCACAAAATGCCAGCGCGGGCGCTCCTGCCCGAGAGCTGCCGCGCGAGCGAGGCCTGGCGCGCCAAGCGGGCCCCGCCCAAGTTCGAGCCAGGGGCGCCCAGCACGCGGGTCCGGGGCCGCGCCGCTAGGCCACGCCGGGGCCGCGGCGCGGAGCCTCCCAGCCCCGAAATGCCAGCACCGGCGACCAGGCCAAGGTGGGGCCAGCGCGCGAGTCCAGGCCCGCGCCGCTGCTCCAGGCTGGCGCCGCGGGGGGGTGCGAGGCGCGGGGCCAATGGGGCAATCAGCTCTCGGGAGGGCACGCCCAAGCGGCCTACAGTGGAGGCCAGTCCACAAGAAACCTTCCCACAAGAAACCCAACCCTGAGACCCCAGGACGTCCACTCGTTTTTGGTGTGGGAACGTCACGCTTTCCGTGGCAAAACCATCGAAACCCAAGAAACCCAGGGCAGCCTGGAGGCAAGCAGGGTGTTTCTTGGCCTGGGTCTCCACTGTAATGGGTGGGGTGCTCGACCAATCCTTTGGAGGCCCGCGGCTCGGCTCCCAGAGGTTTCCGCGCGGGCAGGGCCTGCAGGGGCGGGGAGCCCGCGGGCGTGGGGGGTGCTGCCCAATTTCCCCCCTGCAGAGCTGCTCTGCGCGGGGCCGCAAGGGGGGCTGGCCCGCGCGCGCCGCAGGAGCTGGGGAAAATGGAGAGGGGGGATTGCGCGGGCCAGCCGCAGTGGAAAGGGGAACGGCGGGCCAGTTGGGGATTGGCCTGCGCCCGCGGCTGCCCGCGCTCGCCCTGGGGCCTCCTGCCGCTGCTGCTGCGACCATGCGGCCGCCACCACCAGCACTCCGGCGGTCACGCTGCCACGCGCACACCGCAGCAGCGCCCGACAGCCCGCCAAGCTCGCCAGCGCCATGGTCGCCAGACGACGCCCAGCGCCAGCGCCGCCGTAGTTAACCACCACCGCCAGTGCAAGCGCTGCTGCTGACCCGAATCCAGAACGCACCAACCCTATTCTATCACCCCACCCCTAACACTATCATCATAAGTAATTTAGCCCTAACACCCAAACCCGAACATCTCAACGCTAACCCTAACACTCTAACACCCGAACTTCAACACACCAACCCTGACACCCAGACCCTGATGCTGAAACCCTAACCCTATGTAACCCTAACACACTAACCCTTGCATTCTAACCCGGAGCACCCTAACCCTGAAACCCTGCCCGTAACCCTGGCACCTGAACACCCTAATCCGAACTTCCTCTAATAGCTGCTCGCCGGTTTCTGAATGGTTGGAGGAACTACGTTGAAATACGAATGGTGACGCACGGCACCCGGCTTCGTTTCCTGGATTGCGAGTTCTGAGTCATGCGCGATGTACCTGAAGCCGTTGAACAACAACCTGCACGTTCCCGAAGATAGCTGCCATGCGCCTTCCGTGTTCACTGTGGCTTTCTCTGAGGCCCATCGAAGAATTGAGCATGGTAAAACATGTGCCAAGGCTGACCCATTCCTGAAGATCCAAGCCCAGAAGCACTGGAAGCGAGGCCACAAGCATGGCGGCGTGCGGTGCGCGATAAGCGCCGCCAGAATCGCCACTGCACAGTGCGAGCCAGCCTCAACTTCACCAGCCTGCACCAGCCCGATCTCTTATATATGTTAGCCAGCGTGGTGCGTGGACCCCAACAGCGATATGCTGCAACATATGCGGTGCAGTTCAGGTTGTGCAGTCAATGCTGCGCAATCTAGGTGGCAAAGCTATGCAAAGCAATGGCGCGAAGCAAAGAGCAGTAACGCAAAGCAGCGCAAAGCAATGCGAAGCAAAACAAAGCGCGCGGCGGCGAGGCGGCGGGCGGCGACGGCGGCCACATGGCGGCCAGAGCGGCCCGCCCAGGCGAAGGGCGGCGACGGGGTGGCGACGGCGGCAATATGGCGGCCAGAGCAGCGCGAAGACCCAGGCGACGGGCGGCGACGAGGCGGCGACGGCGGCCACATGGTGGTCAGAGCGGCCGCAGGCACAGTTCCTTTGAAGACAAGTAAGAACCTCAAAGTGCAAGTACTGTTTGGGGAAAACATTGTTTTCGAGCGGTCTGAACACATTATTTCGTTTGCGTCTCATCCAGAGGCACGCGCATCGAGTCCAGCCGCTGCGTCTGAGGCTCGCTGTCGGTGTGAAGCGGGACCTGTTCCGAAACCCGAATTCTAAGCATTGGCTTTGGCATTAACTTTAGGCCACGCGAGTGGGCGGGAATGGCATGAGCTTTCTATCACACTTGAGATTTGGATCGTTGCCAAATCATGCAGCGCGTGATT